ATTGATTGACTTTATTTACTTTGACCTGCATATTGATAGCATCGCCGTGCTTTGATTTCAGTTGTAAGCTTTGGTGACCTGCTGGGCTTTGTAAGCTCATTATATGTGGTTAAATTTTCAGGTCCGAGCTTGGCAACTGGAATGGAGTTCGATCAGAATGTCAGACGAATCCTTTCACTATTTGATTCTGGGGCATCACACTGACGACCTGAGCTCCACAGGACCACCACCTAACGCCCTGAGTTGAGCCGGACCACCACCTGACGCCCTGAGCTCCACCAGACCACCACCTGACGCCCGGAGTTCCGCCGAACCATCTCCTAACGCCCGGATTTATGCTGGACCATCACCTAACGCCCGGAGTTCTGCCAAACCACCATTGGACTACCAACTGATGCCCGAATTTCCAAGTAATTCCGGACTTCCGACAGACCACCAAGTGATGCCAGATTTTCATCCCCGTTTTCACTAGATTTTAACCATACGATTGGCATCTGTAATCTGATCACCCTTAGGGACGAGTCAACCCATTGTAATCTACTCAAATTATAATAGAATCATTTTTAACTGGGCCACACCCCGTGGTCTTTCACCTTTCCAGGGTTTTCCATGTAAAAATCTTGTGTTCTCTGTGTGTGAGTAGGATATCCGTACAATGCTAAGACCTAGGATTATAACTCTATCGCCGCGTATATTCTAACCCACAACAGTTAGTATATACAAAACCAAAAAAAGAAACAACAAGATTTTGTCATAGGAATTTTATGATATATCAATAAATCTCCAATAAAAGGTCAAATCTACTGGAAACATAATTATTTAAGGAATGACACATTCTCTGATAGATACAATGTTGGATATATTGAGGATGAAAAAGTTACTTAAGCATACTATGCCTTTGTCGCTGAAAATCTTGTGTCCAGGAAAAGTACAAAGCAAGCAGCTAAAATAATGTGGAATCAAAACTCTTAACGGAAGAATTTAGATTCCATATTATACAACCTATGATCTTTAATTATAATAATCAAGCAAGAATTTACATTGCTAGCAATCTTATCTTCCATGAAAGAACCAATAATATTAAAATGCATTCACTTACTCGGATGCAATCTTATCAAAGAAGAACACACTCCACGTGTATTTGATGAAAATTTTAATGATAACTTTATCAAAGCTAATAGGGCCACTTCATTTGTCCAATCTTTGTAACAAGCTAAAACTTATTGATATATGTGATATAGAAAAGTACAAGATTCGAAAGTGATTTCATATGAAAGTCTAAATCAGAGACATGTATTTATATTCTTTTTTTAAATCCTCATAATTGAGGATATTATCCTCCTTTTGACCGATTCATGTATGCATGAATATAAGCACCAATATTTAATCAATATTAAATTTATTTTCTCCTCCAATTGCCATGCTTTATCCAGATAATCAGAAAATTAGAAAATCAGAAATTATTACACGGAAACAACAGAATCAATATCATAATTCAGTATATTAATATTTCCGTCTCAATGCACCCCTTAATGCACATGATTTGTGTTTTCAATGAGTACATTTGCATTACTAAGGCGCTTAAACATAAATGGTAAGTGAAAGATCCAGCTAGCTAAAGGACAACGAACTGAATATATATATATATATATATATATATAGAGAGAGAGAGAGAGAGAGAGAGAGGCAAAACCAACAAGAAAATACCTTTAAGAGGCTATTGAGTGCAGCTCGAAGTTCTGCCCTGGCTTTATACAAATATTTAACATTGTCATATGTTGAGTTTAACGCTACACGCACACGTGTAGAGATCTCATGCCCCAAACTGGGCTTGACAGTGTTAATCCACTCCTCATGGTTTGTTTTGAACTCATATCTGGTAATGTTGTGGACAATGTTAGTTATTCATCATAGATAACCACCTTAAAAGTACTTAAAGGGTAACACGATAGTGGAGATCATATTTCTGCAGTTCTACTTCAGCTTGAAATAAGTAGCTAGTAAGCACAAATCTTCCACCAGTTAGTTTCTCTTGTTTCTTTTGAGTTCAGAACAAAGTCCAGATGATGCTTTAAGATTATAACATGTATAGCTCGTGCAAGCAAAAGTAAAATCACAAGTCTAAACTTATGACTCATTTGGGATAATTTTCTTGTTGCTTTCTAAAACAACTTTTTAATAAAAAATTTCTAGTTCAATAAATTTTTACATTAGAAAGCTGCTTTAAAAAGCAGTAAGAAAGCTGTCCCAAATGAAGCCTTAAATTCAGTTTCTGAAAAACATTGTGTTTCTAAGACATTGTGGAGGTTAGAAATTGATTCATGACATGCAACATTAACACTCCAATGTGTTTTTTTAATTATAAGTATATTAAATCCCTAAATCAAGTGATTAAAAAGCTTATTCAAACAATTAACTAGTCAGAGTACAGACATATGAAAGATGAAAGTATTTCTTGAATGACTCTATTGTGTGCCTTTCTTTCCAAACTTTTGAGATGGACACTGATGCTGCAATGCAAAAATTTTGAAAGCTCTCACGCAAGCATCCAGGCTCCGAAGTTTCTTCTCTAACTCCGCTATAAACAACACTTTATTGAAAAACTACTATATCCATGCCAAATTGGTATCCTTGGCACGTCCCAATTATAAATATGATGTCATGGAGCCTCAAGCTATAGCAAATATCCTTGGCACATCCCACTCAGATTGGTATCCTTGACACTTCAGATTAGCTACAGCAATTTTCTGATGTATTTTCACTGTTTCAAATGCCTGGTTTGAGTACAATGTCAACAGAGCTTTCTAGCATGGTCACATAATAACAGTACCAAGAAATCTATTCATGTACATCACGTTTTATAAGTTAGTGTTAAACCATTGTATCAAATTAAACACAATATATATGAGTGTGTGAGAATGTGTGTGTGTGTGTGCACTGCAACACCTGCAGATAGCATTTACACGTTTACAATGTCAAGAAAGATTCACTGGAAATAAATTGGAATGTCCCAAAAGTGTAGTACAGAAGACTATCCTGTTAACTCCTATCAATGCCAACTTGTTAAAAATGCATCATCAAGTGGAGCAGTAGCTAATACCTTATCCAACAATGAGGGTTGGTTTTGCTATTTATTTGTTATTCGTCTCTAATAAACTGATCCAGGAAAAACTGAAGCTTTTCTGTATTTTCTACGACTGTTTCAACTAAAAACGTAGAAGATTTAGAGTAAAAAGCCCGCAAAGAATATGATTAGGGTACCGAAAAAACCCAAAAAAAATCCCATCACCTATATCTGTTAGCCGCTACCAATAATGTGATATTTAATGCTCGACATAAACTAGTAATCAACAAATGCAGAGAAAAATAAAAAAATGATGTAACTCGCAATAACATTCAATAATCATATTCTAAATAACATACTTTTGAAGTGATAGCATTATTGTTGAAAGAGCCTGCAGAGTTGTTGTTCCTTGATGCAGTTTTGTATAGGGCTCGCCGAACTCTTTTAAAATTGGTACATTTGAAGCAATGTAGTGACTAACATTCATATGCTTAGCTGGTAAGTCTGCAAGGTGAATATACAAGAGGATGGACTCATGAGTTTGTAAAACATCTACAGACAATTTTTAACCAAAATATATTGAAATATATGCTTGAATGTTTAGTGCACTCCCCAAATGCAAATTTTATTAAAAAAATTGCATTGTCAATGTAAACCTACACCCGGATAGAGCTTCAATGGCCTTGCTTATAACATGTACGGTTTTCTGCTTTGGAATCCTAGAATACTGAAAGAAATCATCAGCAAATATAAAGCGCTTTTCCCGCTTAACAACCGTTTGAGATGCTTGCAACAATAAATGTCCAACACGATGGAAAATAGATGGATCTCGTGCAAACAGACCTGCAATGTAATATATATCAATATGCTGAATAAATAAAAGTTTGTAGATTCGTGATAAAACTTTTTTCTTGAAAAATAAAGGCATTTAATTCATCAAATAACTTATTTAGCCATCATTTATGTCAGACTTTCTTCATGTAAATACCAAGTGTTTCCCCGTAGTACAAAAATATTAAAGCAATGCATTGAGAGTGAAAAATTATGTACAAGGCTCACCTACAGTACATAGGCTTTGTGAGTTTGTCAAAATTCCAATGTTGGATACAACCCCGTGAGAAGGTCTATAACCAAGAATGCCACAAAATGCAGCTGGAATTCTCACACATCCAATTGTATCAGTACCTGCGTTGGCAAAAGTAGACTCAAGTAACCAGACATTGTGAAAATTTTCAAATACTACAATTTTTCTAAACAGCAAATATGCATCAGCCACAGAGAGATAATCCAGTGCATCCTTAAGGTGATGGATATCATGGATTTTTATGCCCTTCTATGATAAGCATCAAAAACGATAAACTAAGATAAAGGTGATTCATACCAAATGATAATGTAGACAAGAAGCTAAAAGATTGGAGCAGTGAAGGGCAAAAGAGAGAATCTGGGCTTTAATCATCCAGCGAAGATTTCAGGATATGTTAATATCGAAAAAAAAAAGGCCTCGGAGGGGGGTGAATTAGCATGATATGAGTTTCTTCCCCGTCAACGTAACTGCTTCTGCTTCTCAATCCAATGATCAAAAAGTTTATTTACATTGACACACAATATCATTTTTAGAAAAAGAGATGTTGTACAGATGAAACAGAGATTTCAACACGTTTCTTTTACTAAGATATTTCAATTTCAAGGGATAATGGCTAGTAAAACAAAAACAACCAAATGGTTTACAAAGAATGCATCACACACCAAGTGCAAAGTCAACAAGACCAGCAGCAACCGCCACACCAGAACCACTAGAAGATCCCCCTGGGATTTGCAGTAATAATTGTGGATTTATGGGCATGCCATAATGCAAGTTCTCTCCTGTGACTCTGAAATAACAACCAGACATAAGAAAAATCAATAAAGTCCCATTTATTTTTATTAGAGCATGAAAAGTGCAGAAATCCACGAAAAGGCACTAAAAATAATCAGCTTAATTATCCCTAAGAGATATTCATCATAGATGAATAGCAAGAATGGATGGATAATATCAAACTTTAAGAAAAAAATCTTATTCATGCAACAATTACCAATTTCACAAACAAAGACAGAAGCTTCCCATGCACCGATCCTGAAAAAATTTATTACTACAAAAGATAAGAATGAACACCCAATGTAACCATTCACAACAAATGTAAAATCTGAACTACTTTACATCGGTAGATGCTACCATAGACTACTCTTTTCATGCAAGAAAGGGAATCCTAAATAACTTTCTTTTATTATATCAATAAAGGATATTACAACTTACCAAAATAAATGGTGTTCCAGACACGGTGGTAAATCCTTTTAAGGGAATTATGCTTCTATTACAAATATCAGAATGGAATACTAGACATCCATTGAGAATGGCGTAATTGCTATGCGTGCTTTATCTACTTTTGGTAAAGGCAGCATAAAATTTTGTGAGGATTCACTCCTAGCGTTTTTTGTACATTGGAAAACATTCTGTGCAAGTCTATGCCCATTATTATAACACCGAACGGGAAAACGTAGCAAAAACACAACATAAATGGACGAATAACACAAACTTGAGAAATTGGAATTTTAATGCATCTTGATTTGCAAGATGAAAAAATAATGTATTTTTTCCTTATCATCATCACCATTAGCTTTCGCCAAACTGTTTGGGGCCTGCTTTAAAAATAGCTCCTCTCTGCCCATTCATGATAACTGCTAAAACATTATGTACGATTCAGGATCAAACTAGTGAAAACACTAACCCAAAAGCCAATTCATCCATAACCGTTCTGCCAACCAAAGTGGCTCCCCGCTGCAGCAACAGCGAGATCACCGCTGCCGTCTTGCCCGCCGGCTCATGCGTCCGCTTCCAGTCTGGATTCCCGAAACCAGAAACTGAATTCTTGACATCAAAACTGCAACACCGAACCAAAAAAAGAAAAAGAAAAAAAAAACCATAAGAACGACCAAACAAATGACTAATAATAAAACGAACAATCTGTACCGGAGCAAAGTCGACGAATACAAACTTGTCAGCAACAGCGAATGTGAGGTCCGAGAGGGGGTGGCGTGCAGCAGGAGGCGGCGGCTGCGGTGCTGGGAGGAGCTCAAATCGTTCAATGAAAGCACCGAAATCCTTCACACGAGGCGACGTTTCATTTGAACCCTTTCTCCTCCGGCGAGCGGACTCGGCCATTATCAGGACGCCGACCACGCCGATACCGGCGATGATCCAGAGCTTAGTGCTCGAAGCATTGATCTTGGTGATCCTGAGAGGCTTCACGAACTCCAGCTTTGATATATCAGTTCTACGATCGAGAGGATGAGAGAATAGGGTTTTAGTAGGGTTTTGGACCTGCAACGAAAAGGGCGAGAAATAAAAGAAAATTTTTTCGGCGAATATGCCGCTGCAATCCGTAGGCTTCACGGAGTTGGAAAAGGATTCTAGCAACGACGGAACCTTTATTCTGTTTTCTCCAATTTTTTCGTTACAGCTTTTTCGCAACATCAAATTAAGGGCGTGTTTGGTATAGGATTGGATTTAATTATAGTAGTATTTATTAAATTTTGTAAATCTGAATTTAATAAATTCTGAATTATGTTTGATATGATAGTTTTTAAATCATGTTAAATTCAGAAAGATATTTGGTAACAGATAACATGATTTAGAAAGATTGTAGATTTAAAATTAGAGTAATATGCCAAATAATAAACAAAACATAACATCATTCAACGAAAACAGCTAAAAACATAAATAGTACATGACAACATGAAATTTTTTTTTTTGGACACCGCTTAACAACTACAAGATAATACACTGCAACATAATGTTGATGTTCATAACATAATGGTGAAATATTTGTTGCGTTGGATCTTATCTTCCTCACGACGATCGATTTTTTTAACAATTTATCTCAAATAAAAATAAAACAAAATATTACATAAATAATGTAATGAGAGATAAAGTATTATTAATGCATACAGATATTCTTACCCGTGCATTCCACATATCAGTTGCAATAACATGCCTTATCGCTTCTCCTTGAATTATTTCTCCTATTATTGTGTGCAAGTTAGGATCTTCATCCAACATTTCAAAATTTCCACATTCACTATCGTGTTCCATTTCTATCTGTGACATATTGAATGATAGCGACCTATAAAGTTGTGCAAAATTGCACACGCAATAACTAGGTCAGCTTGAACAGTACCATAAATTTTTTTTTCATGTAAGACAACACTTGAAAACGTTCCTTCCAAATCCCGAATGTTCTCTCTACCACATTTCGCAATTGGGTATGTCTGTGATTAAATAATTCTTGCTGATTTGTATATCTCCTAGTAGTACTTCCTCTATAATCAGCTAGATGACATCGATATCCTCGAAAATGAGCAATCAACTTATCAGTGTTTGCATAGCCTGAATCAACCAAGTAATGATGATTGGGTGGCACTCCAAATTGACATTGCTCTACAGCCCATCTTAGCACATGCATATCTGCAGCTGACCCTTCCCACCGATGCTACATATACGAACTGTTTATCAAATTACATTGTAGCCATAACATTTTGAGAGGTGAATCCCTTACAATTACGATAACGATTCTGTATGTTGCTGCTAACTATTGTTGGTATATGTGTGCCATCAATTGTACCCAAAGTATTCTTGAAGTAAGAGTGAAATATTGTATTGGAACGTACAAAAAGATGACATTCTGGATCTCCATTGGGTAAATTAATGAACTCATCTGCAAATGATACAATGGCACGTATAACAATATTGAAGTATATGCCAACTGTCTCCAAAGAATACTGAAAAAATTCACACAACTATCGATAACTATGAGCATGTACATAATGGCTATGAGGACACCTTAAAGTGTCATAATATGTATATATTAGGGCATATGATATATTAAGGCATCAAATAATGGTGTCACTTAGGTGGCCGTTGGCATAGGGTTAAGGGCATCTTTTTGTGCCCTAAAAACTAAACTTTTATGACATATAATTTTGATGGCATAGTCTCTTCAACAACACCTATAATGTGTCCTAATATACCAACTTTTCCAACACATTTATATAATGAAATTTATTAATAAATATAACAAATATTATATGACATAATAGGTTAACTTTCCTAACACATTTATTTGATGAAATATGTTTAATAATAAGGCACATTTAAGTTGTCCTAAGATATATGATTTCCCAACACTTGAATTTAATAAAATAATTTTAATAAAATGACATTATTTTGTGCTTCGATATATATTATATCTAATATAAATTATATTCAATTATCAATTAATAATGTTGAATCATAATATTTCAATTGCAAATAATTAATCTCCAACCAAATTTCTAAAAATATCATATACATATATATATGATAGCATACATAAGATATTTTTCTTCAAATAAAAAATTACAAAAAATTTCCAACTTAAATACAACAAAAATTCTACTTCAATCTTCATATACATACATAAGCAATCTATTAAAATAAATGTCCTCACAAAACAATACATGAAAATAAAAAAAAATGGCCCTTATCATGATTTCTTTACACTGTAGCAACGAAGTCTTGGGATTTCTATTTCTACACTTCATTATCATCCACTGGAGGAAAGTACATATCACGATCATCAATTGCGCCTTGCTTTTCTACTTTTGAGTTTGCTTGAATATATCATTCCACTCGTCCATATACTGTAATCAATGATTAAAAACTTCAGCAGTAGTTTATATGCATGACATGACATATCTTATCGTTCAAGATAGATAATTTTAAAGATGCAAAACTATTATGCATATTATGAAGAATTAAATTATTTGGAAAGCAAAACGAATTTTAAAAATATTTTAAATAGGTATATTTTAAATTAAAAAAAAAACAATGACATCATGATGAAAAAACAATGTATGGAAGACAATTGTTGTAGTGTATAAGCTTGAAAATAATTTGTGTTTCATTCATACAGATGATAAGAAACAATTCAAGTAACATTGGTGATACATAGCTATTCTAATCTTAAAATGATCGGCCTTTTTCAAGAAAAACGCGCGTAACTTGAAAATTTTAAACAAACAAAAGAACTTTAATATATAGATAAACTATATCAGCATGAAGTAACCGTACCTACCTCACAATTACGGCAGAAAAATAGTTTTCATCAAAGATGTGATGCCAATTTTCTCCATGTTCAATTTCATTTCTTTTCCTTATGATTTTATTCAATTTCAGCGTTTTCATGCTCTCCTGATCTTTTTGGATCCAACAATGCCCAGTAGATACCAAAGACTGAAATTGTAGTGTTGCTTCAAGCTAGCATTAATAGAATTAATTCACTATAAATAAAAAAGATATCTAGCATTTAGCTTATATTTTCTAAGCTTGTGCCTAGGAATTGAGCGCAAAATAATATAGAAAATTTTTTGTGCAGTATATGAAGAAAACTAGGCAAGCAGCATGAAGTAAAATTGCAACCGCAAAAAAACGTTAAATTTGTAAATTAAAAAAAATCATCAAATCTCAAACATAAGTACTTACATGTTTGTCCATAAGTAAAACATGTTGGCTTTATGTTTCTCAACATATTCTGTAAGGTCTATCTACATGCATGAAAGCTTTTCTTCCCAGGTAAATCATGTTACAAACAACATCCATGCAATCAATCATTGGTGCATTAAGACTGTATATTTGCCACTGTTTCAAAAAAAATCAAAGCATGGTTTGCATTCTAAGGAATCAATCACCACATCTCACAACAACTAAACAGTTTAACGCAACTTAACTCGGCACAAGTGCCACTGCACAATCATAGGTGAAAAAATACTTACCGTGAAAATAAGCTGCATCTTGCAAGTAATATATTAAGCATGTCAAACATTAAAAAAATTTAAGGTAGGTGTTAAGATAAATGTAAGACAATATTAAGAAGCTGCATCTTGAATGATTTTAAGTGGAGACCAATATAAATTGACGTAGCCAGCTAACAACAACATGAATACAAGCTTTTTTTTTTCCTTGCAAAGTGATGCATGGGTTATGGCTTTCGCTATTCATAATGCATAATTGTTGCCAATTGGAGAATGCCATTGAAGTTCGTAAAGAGGAAAGTTCTCATGGATGCATTTTTCAGAGTTCTTAGAATAATTCAGCAGTTCGTTCTTTGGTTTGGACGATGTGATATTCTATGGTTTGGAGAATGCCAATTTAAGAATGTGATATTCATGCATTGGATGACCGTTGACATAAGTCAAGCGGCCCTACGCGTATTGACATCTACCTCGGGCTCTCATGTGAGACCAAACAAATCAAAATCACCATTTTGCGGAGAGGACAACAGAGAGTGTTTTTTTGGGTTTAGAAAACTGTAAAGCGGGGTTTCTAAGGACCTAAGGGTTTGGGAGCATCAACCACACATCCAATAAGGGCTTTGAGACCTAGGTTTCCTAAGTTTATGGGATTTTACCTTGTCGAAGACAAAGCCCAACAATTTTGGCCGTAGCACCTTTACCTTGAAGAGTTCGCAGGGTCAAGGGGCAGCGCCATTGCGGGGGTCTTCAGGGGCATAATCCCCAAAACAAAATTCGGTTGTGATGGTATTTTGGTTCATTATTCCCTAACAAATTTTAGTTGCAAGGAAGAAATTTGTATTTTAAATGCATAGAATTGTTAATATCAAAACATCAGAAAAAAAATTAATGCAATGTTGTTAAAACTGAAATAAGTCAACTAAAGCAAACTATAAACTCTCAAATAGCAGGGAGTCTTTCCGATATAAACAGGAAAAAATGATGAATTGAACTATGATCAGACCAATGTCCAGAATCAAGTGAC